GAACGAGAAGTGGATCGAAAACGACTCACATCGGCGCGTGTGTCCTTTAGACAGGTTAGTATCTGCCTGAGTAGTTCCATGAAAGAATCATGTAGAGATTACGTAGGCCATTGGGGTGATGTCATCATGTGATGTCATGGCATTCAGATTATGTCGTATGATTAACCCTTTGGGCTTTCACTTGCTTTCCTTTGGGCTTTCACTTGCTTTCCTTTGGGCTTTCACTTGCTTTCCTTTGGGCTTTCACTTGCTTTCCTTTGGGCTTTCACTTGCTTTCCTTTGGGCTTTCACTTGCCTCGGCCAAAAATCCGGTGTTTGAGTGGACCGTGGAAAATCGATCACGACTTTGGACTCATTGATATTCTTAAATACAAAACTATATTTATAATATTTTCTGAAAGGTATGATAGTACTGAAGTAGGTTGCTGGCATCATCACTCAAAGTCTAAGCCCTGGCTTGTGTGAGGAGGAGGGCAAATGGTACTCGAAACTTCCACGTTTGCGACTTGCTATTCATACCGGCATTGTACTTCCACGTCATGCTGGCTTGCAGTAGAATGAGCGCGTGGAGCGATCGGTTTGAGGCTACACATTGGCTAGATACACACTCTGTTCATATTCTAGCCCACATATGCCACAGGATCTGCAAACTTAACTGCTACAACGTGTACAGTCAACTTCGCTTATAACGACACTCGGCGGGGCATCAGAAAAGTGTCCTTATTCGCGAAGTGTCGTTATATCCGAAGTCTCATTATATGTGTCACAGTTAGATGGGACTTTGCTCCGGGCATGAAAATGATGTCGTTATTCGCGAATTGTCGTTATATCCGCAGTCGTTATTAGCGAAGTTGACTGTAGTTCGTATTTCTAGGGATCAAGCGAAAAGAGACGTAAAGGCCATTCGTAACAAAAAATGTCAAAATTCTAATTTTAACGCCAAGCTTGGCGGCAACATTGATGTCTCTAACCATTGATGTCTCTAACCATTGATGTCTCCAACCATTGATGTCTCTAACCTTCATTGGGAGGCAGGCCCCTGTTGCTTCTATATATTCCTTACAAGTAGTGTGGAACAGAATTTTATTGCAACTCAAGAGTTTCATGCTTGCACAATCATCAGGCAAAACATATTAAAATATTATGTTGTCTTTGGTGATTTTCTTTTCCCCTTTGCTCCTTCTCTTACGCAATAATCCCTGTCTCTGTGTGTGTGTATGTATGTGTGTGCGTGTGTGTGTGTGCGTGCGCGCGCGTGCGTGCGTATGTGCACACAGCCCCCGGCGGCGTACAAAGTCAAGCACGTTCCTTTCAACAACTCTCGCAACTTTCACAACGTGGTCTTCCCGACCGACCCAGAGTTTGCCACGTTCGAGACAAGCTCGTCGGCGGAGTTCACTAACCGTTTCCGTGGCAAGCGTCGTGAAGACCCTCCACCATCGTACAACATTCCCCTGGATTACGGATACGGTGAGTTTACTAGAACATGGATGATTTAAACACTGATTTTAAGTGTGTAAGTGACTGCGTTGGAGTTTGCGGACAATTAGAAAAGATTTTAGGTGTATTCATGATAGCTTGCATGCCGTCCTACCGGTAGGACTCAAGAAATCGCGCTGCAAAAGTGCTTTTGGTTGAGAAATTTCTTGAAACAATTGTTGAGATGAGGTCTTTGTCAGGCAAAGTAATGGCGCAAAATGCAAGGCTATGTCCAGTGCATTGCATACGCGCAATTTTATCAATTGTCAAATGGCCGCACATACTCCTGTCGGAGCGCTAGCAACTCTGTCCAAAGTGAATTTTGACCATGGGACATCAATCGTGGTGAGGTACTAATGTTTTTATCAGTCTGCCAAGGCAGTGGAATGCATAATTCCATACACCGTTTCCATGGTTACCATGGGCTGTTACCATGGAATTTCGTAGTATGCCTTGTGCGATCACGTCTAAAATTTGGGGACTCCTTCATTAGCCCCTGAGCAACAGTTCAGGGTCAAGTTTTAGGTCAATGTTAGAACAGAGGCCATGCAGCATGTCTGTGTATGATGGTCCTACCGGTAGGTCCTACCGGTAGGACCGAGGTCTATGCAAGCTATCATTAAGATTTCGGTGCCAGGAACCTGGTGGGTTTCAGGTGTAATGTAGAATTAGGTGACCAGCTTTCCCTTCACATACAGTGTACAGTGCATACTGTAGTGCCCTCTAGATGTAAGCCAACGTTAGGCTCCTGTACCTGGTCACTGCACCGAAATTACCGAAATTAAAGTTTTATTCACTTGTTTGAGGGAAAGACGCAAACGGGAAAAGTCTGAAGAAAAATTAAAGGTACGGTATTTTTCCGGTTGTAAGTCGACCTTTTACAACTAAAAATAGAAGGAGAAAGTGTGGGAAAACAGCAATGAATAAAACTAATTGTGCACTCATGAGTCATACCCATGTACATGTAGAAAACAATAATTTTTACTAAATGAAAAAAATTCCATAACGTTTTCTCGTGACTATCATCAGTGGAACATGGTCACATGGTAAAAAATCACTAAAACAACCAGTTATATAGCTAGAATAATATTCACAAAATAGCAGCTCGCGGTTACACATAGCGTCAATTACACCACCACCGTCCGTCCACACACGCACACATGTGACATAGCTGCCTCATTCATTTACCTCTACAATTTCCACATTTACATTGTAATACATAAACTCACACTGCTGGTGTAATTGACGCTATGTGTAACCGCGAGCTGCTATTTTGTGAATATTATTCTAGCTATATAACTGGTTGTTTTAGTGATTTTTACCATGTGACCATGTTCCACTGATGATAGTCACGAGAAAACGTTCTGGAAATTTTTCATTTAGTAATACTTATTGTTTTCTACATGTACATGGTTATGACTCATGAGTGCACAATTAGTTTTATTCATTGCCGTTTTACGACTATTGTCTCCTCGTAGGTTATAAAAAGTGTGGGGGTCGACTTACAACCGGGATTCAACTTATAACCGGGAACTATCAGTACCTTACAAAAAATGACCTGTACTGCATGCACGAGTGCACCATGTGTACACATTTTGCCAGTTTATTGGTCTTTTACAAGGATTGGGACGTTATACCCTCCAATCAATTGAAGGAATGTTTACATGATTTGTTGTTGTGTTAGTAGCAGGGAGTGGTTAGTAGTGCTTCTTGGGGTGAAAACTTTAAAGGGGCACTCCGGGAATATTTTCGGTGGTGTGTTCTCTTCATGGGGGCCTTATATGGCCCCCAACGAATGGGGAATCGCGAAAACTAGACCCAAAAAGTCTGAAGCTAGGGAGGGCCAAGTTAGTCTCCTCTTTTGATGGTTTTGATGACATCACGTGTCATTAGTATTCAAATTCTCTGCATTTGAAGACCTTAGTTGTTTGAATTTTCTGGTGATGAAGAACGATGTTTGGTCGACATTCCCAAGCTTCACAACTGCGACCATACTCTCAGGAACCTGAAGGACCTCCTGAGGTGCCCCTGGTAGAAGCGCAGCCTGATGAGAACCAGGAAATTGGAGCGGACGACTTCACTGGTCGACAAGGAAATAACGATTGGTGTTCCTGCCAGAAATGTGGGGTGATGCA